AAACGTTGTCATCCGTCTCTGATATATATCATGCTATCAACGTTTCGTAAGCTTGGGCATCAACGCCCTATCCACCAACCATCCCAGATTCCTCAAGCAATTCGCCCGAGCAGACGCTGCGGCAGATGGCATTCCGCTAAACCGCCGTCCTATTTCCTAGGTCGTAGACGGAACCACACTTCATTACGGACTTCCACGAGGTGAGGACTATGCACACGTTCAGCAAATTTTCCAAGCTCAACCGGCCACTGTAGAATTTGGGGTAGGGTTTCCAGTGGGGTCTTCGAAAGGTCCTTATGTATTATAGCCGCCTACTTATTTTTTTAAGTAGGTTGAATTGCACATAATCTTCCAGTTTTCTACCCGCCATCCGTCGTTACAGCAGGGATTTGATGATGGTATTGAACTGCAGAGTGGTCTTTGGAAGGCCGCCGCGTGCAAAAACCGCTTTAGTCAGTTTATTAAGCAAAATTAGCCTTTAAATTAACCACGTGAATAATCGCTTACTTACAAATTTTAAGTAGGGTGATTTCCACGATCATCCCACTTTTGCACTGCGTTAACCTTTTTTCTAGTTGGTGTTGGTGGTACCGCTGAGGTGCCACACAGTGGCCTCGCTCTAGTTGGGGCACACTCCCCCGACATACACGCGCTCGCCGTTGGTCCGGTAAAGGGTTAGCGATGATATTAAAGCATGCTTCAGTGTCCCCGCCTGAGGTTTGAGTACGCGCCCAAACTTTCCTTCGTAACTTTTACTTTGCAGATTAATTTCGATCTACTTTGTTCCCCGACATGCCCCATCCGTCCTCATCCCTAAAATCAGGTGCCCGTGAGCCTGAGGGACGCGCTTCATACGCTCCCCAGGCGGCCCCACAAGGAATCCCTACCGAATTTGGATTTGGATTTAAGCGACTTATTGTACCTGCATACCCGACAACTAAATACAAACTCATCGCCATTTCGGGAAAGATGTGTCGTTTCATTTCGCCGGTGCAAGCCCACGGCCTAGTTGGCGGTAACACCTTTTATTGGCAGTAGGCGAAGAATTAAGTGTTTGTACCAGATCCTCGTATTGTGCTAGCTGGGGTAATTTCTTCGTCCTACAACTTCGATTGTCCGGACTGCAACAGAAATAATTACTCGTATATGGTGAATCCAAGGGATAGACAGTCAGTAAATTTTAGCGAAATGGCTAGCATAGCTGTCAGGGAATAAAAGTTCATGAAGCTACCTTTTTACCATCATTGACAAAAACAAGGCCAGTCAAATTGCACAATAAATGCCTACTTATCTCCGCAATAGGTGGCCTTAGATATGGCAAACATGTAGGGCCCCAGTTTGGCTGACGTTCAAAGGATCGGCCGGCATAATCGGGCTTACACTTGGCCACAGGCCGTAGTATACATACTCCCCGGCACCTTCCTAGGCTGCGCTGAAATTACGGCAGGAATTTTCAGAAATCCATTTGTTCGTTACACGTGTACAAATTGTGGTCACCAACAACCCGTTCACGCACTCCAGATACGTGGATTTTCCGGCATATCCCTTTTTCTTCTTTCTATCAAAACCTTTGGCGCTCTTAATGCTGTGATATCCAAAGCGCAACAGTAAAATTAAGCAAATTGCAACATCTCGCCTCCTCATTTGAGGGTTTTAGGTTTGATTTAAAAATCGACGATGCTTATGTTAAGGAAATTAAGGCTACCTCTATGTCGTAATTCCGCAGCCGAGAAGGACCACTCTGTTCCCTGCAGCCAACGTGAACGAAGATGGTAGTACAGCGTGTAGCAAGAGAAGACGCTCGAAGACATACAGTTGGCCATGACTTCCAACCGCCACCAGCTGCCCTATGGTCTTGTTGAGCGTGAGAGAGTTAGAACCTTGCTAACCCGATAAGATTTGACCAACATTACCTAAAGGACAGGGTTCCGTAATGTTAGAGCAAGTAAGCCTAAGGTAACCTTAAGCGACGTGAAACAATTAGAAAAGTGCTATCCGAAATGCACCCTGAAATGGTTGTCTGGCTGCAGGAACGAAAAAGACTGGGCAAGTAATGAAACTATGACCATGTGTGTTATACGGTGGGGGCTGATTATTGGCAATCGGAGCAAGACCCGGACGCCGGAGGGGGAAAGTTTAAATATGACTAATGGTATGCTCAATGATAAGAGACCCTGGGCTGTCCAAGGAAATAAGATAATCAAAATTAACGAAACTGGTAAGTGACCGCCGATGAAAGCGGTACGTGGTCGCGGGCGTTTGCGGGCCATAGGCTCTGTTACCCACCCTTAGTACCTTTGGGCATAGAAGCCGGGAAAACGAACACTATAGGTACGTGTGGAAGGTCAGTTTTTGTGGACCATTTGTGAAACTGAAGAACAAGTTCCGTGTAGAGATCAGTTGTGAAGGATGGCTGACAGATTACCGCGTCGGTGCGGATGGTTGGGCTAATATGGATTAGGGCGATGTGAAGTCAATGTACTCTGGTGCCCTGTTGGAAAACGGTTTTGGGCAACCAATCGGGTTAACCATAATTAAAAGTACCATGAACGGCTGTGAATGAAGGTAATCGTCACAGCGAAAATGATTGGTTTTCTCCAAGTGCTTTGTAGAACTCACAAGCTCTG